ATTGCATCAATCGTTCAGTTATTGCTGCAGTTTGGTCGATTAGGTCTGAGTTCTGCGGTTAGCTGAAATAATGGCGGTGCCATCGACCAATTTGACACCTGGCTACCTATGCAAGGATTCTTTGTCATCTATGCACTGCTAGGTGTATGCCTCAAACTATCTAATATTTTGCATTATCTGTCGTATGCATTTATTGATTTATTGCTGGTCGACTACAGCACCTACGAACTCAGTCACTTCTTTTTCACAAAGGAACACACGTGTTTGGTCTATCGACCTTAAACTTCAAACCTATTATTTAAAAGTATGTATATGGATGAAGTCTCTGTATAGTATTAATTATCTACACTTAAAACTACGAAAGTCAGGAGTCTTAAGAGGAGTAAAACTGAGAGTCTTGGAACTGTAAATATAGGAGATCTTAGGTACGAGACGCGCTTGAGTAGTACTAGAGTAATAACGTAGTAACCTTTTACCAAAAAATTACTTATTATGTTTTCAGAACAAAAATCAAAATCTAAATCGATTTCGTTCTACAAAGCAAATACTTTCTTTTTCAGCCATACCGATGGCTCGTCGGTTTTATTTTCGTTTTCATCATTCGATTGGGGTACCGGTGTTTTATTGATAGTGGCAAATGTGCTGTGTGACGGTACGCGTATCATTACTATAAAATCATATACACCGGAATACCTTCTGGAAATTATTACGAAGTACAAAGTAACGAATTTAACTGGCTCGCCCAACCAATTTGGAGATCTTTCACAATTGCCGGGTTACACTGCGGAAGAAATGTCCAGCATGCGTATAATTATAATCAGAGGATGTAATGCTCTACCTTCTGTCCAGACTAATGTAAGAGCAAAATTAACTAACGGCATTTTGGTGAACTCATATGGAACCTCAGAGATTGGTGTCACCTCATTGAATTATACCGATTATAAAGTCGATACTGTTAGCCGTTTATGGGGTGGTGTGCAGCTGAAGATAAAGGATTAAGTGTCAGGTGATGTTCAGAAATTAATGGGTCCGAATGAAAAGGGGGGCACTCCTATAAGTTGGTTGGGTTACCTTGTAATCCAGAGACAACTGCTGATATTATGGATTCTGATGGCTGGATCAACACCGGTGATATCGTGTGTATGGAAGATGAAGGTTTTCGATATTTGGTTGATCGCAGTAAGGATATTTTAAAATATATGGATATTAAAATAACGTTTTTATAAAAAAATAAATAACGATAAATATAATTTAATATTTGCTAATTTGTAACTTGATTTTGATTGGTCAGTTTGTACTGTAGCTAAATGCCATAGTGAACCAATCTGCACAATTTATTAAAAGATTCTACAATAATTTGTGCCAAATTTTATAAAGATGTTACGAAAAATCCGTAAGTTTTCCATGCAAGAACTTGATTCCGATCATTCAGATTGTATGGCACCTATATATAAGGTTGTCAAATATCTCCCTTCCGCTTTTATGCTTCGACATGCTTTATAAAGTATTACGTAGATCGGAGTTGGCTAAAATATGCGCCGTTTTTCATTGATCTATTCCATCAGCGGCAACTTCATAATACCTTCCTCGTAAGCGCCCCTCATTATTTGCAGAAGAATTCGGTCAACCATTTTCACAAAGCCTCTTTGCAGTTTCAACTTCACACCACCAAGGGCATTCGCCATGGACAGGAACAGGGTAATCACTTGGCGCTACGTCCGGGCTATATGGTGGATGCGATAAAACCTCCACATCCGAGCTCCTAGCTGCGATGAGTCATCAGACGAAGTGTGTGGTCACCGCGTTGTCCTGGTGGAACACTACACCTGCCCTTCCTGTTGGCCAATTCTGGACGCTTCGGTTCGATCGCCCTGCTTCAGCGGTCGTTGTTCGCAGTAGATGGTAGAATTAAGCGTCAGGCCATATGGGAGCAGCTCATGAGTGATGATTCCTTTAATCCCTGAGCACACAGCAAACCTTCCTGGCCATCAATCCGGCGGTCACTGTTTGGGACAGTTCACCGCCTTCGCATCGACCGTTTCGCTTGATGTGTGTGTACTGTCCATTTTCGTCGCCGTCACTCATCCGCTTCAGATATGGGACGAGTTCGTTTCGTTCACAGCATATCGCAGGCGTTGATTCGGTCCAGAAGGTTTTGCGTCAAATTATGCGGCACCCAAACATCAAACTTTTTTTTGTATCCAGCCTTCTGCAGATGGTGTCGTTTTCACCGGCTCTGAATCGTCGAAACCATTCCTCCGCGGTTCGAAGTGATAGAGTACCATCCCCCAAAACACCATTAATCTCACGGAACGTTTCTCTAGCGGATTTGCCTTTAACGAAGGAAAACTTTAAAATAGCGCGAATTTCGGCGTTAGTGAACTCCATGTTTACACGTCTGTAACTGTTGAACGCAATATCCAAACTAATCATGCATAACGTTGTTTTGTAGGTTATGTCAAGACCTTTCAAATTATGTATAGTGTTGCCAGATACGAGCTCTGTAGCACTTTGTACATAGCCGCGAAATTCAAAAGACAAAAAAGCGGATATTTTACAACCTTATACTATAGTGATTCGATCTGAATAATTTCTTCGGAGTTTGCATTATTGCCCCAGATAATGATCAATGCCAGATTTCGTGAGAAGGTTTTCCATCAAGCACTTGAATCTGATCGTTCAGTTTTTATGGAAACTATATGCTATAGTGGTCAGATATCATGTCCTTCTGGATGTTACAAGTTTTGTGGCAAAGAATATATATACCCTGTTCATTGTACAAAAATATAAGAGATATTAGTCAGCAGCAGTAATGTCGAAGAGGTCGCACATAATTGTATCTTAACTTTGCATTTTTTACGCACTCGTAATAGAGACAACTCTATATCGGTACTTCTTTTAATCACGTCTATACTTTTGTAAACTTTTTATGTAGATTTGTTTCAAGGTTAAAATAATATCCTCTTTATGTCGGGACAGAAGACATAACAAAAACAGCAAGACACAACAAGCCAAAGACAGGCACTGAGACATACTGATTAAAAGAAGTGATAGAATAGTTCATGGATCCATAGGCTCATTATTTACTCAAAAAGTTGGTTAAAAATCACATCGGTTTATTTCCTTAATAACGGGTGTTTTTTTAGACGTATGACTTTCAATGAGACAATACTTTTTTCGAAGTTGCTCTTGTTGAAAGCTGTTACTTGATTTATAATTAGTGCGGTTTGCCATTCCATAACGAACAGAATTACTCTGATACCACGTTTGCAAATCGTGGAAATTTGTTATCAAAATAATGGTTCGGTTCGCGCGACACACAGCGAGCTGCGTCCTATATTCGCTTGATATACGAGGTGTACTCAAATGAAAAGGTGAATTTCGATTTTTCGCGGGTGTACATTCGTTTATCGATATTTGATTTTTGTTATAATCGGACACATATTTGTTTATCATGTGCTTGCATTAGGAGCCAATTTCGATTAGTAGTTTCACATCAACAAGCGAAGAAAACATCGAAACAGTGAAAAAATATTTAAAATCGTCGAATCACTATTTGGGAAGTTGCAGAGAATGTCGGCATATCAATCGGCTCATGCCTTTAAATTTTATTGAATGTTTTGAGCATGAAACGAGTTTGTTCTAAAATTACAAAATTTTGATGAATAACAACTTTTATTTTATTAAAAGGACTCTCTTCTATTCCTATTTTATGACAATTACTGTCGAATTTCTAAGCACTTTACAAATTGAACAAATTCCTCAGGGGACTTCACTCAGTTGCATTTGTCTATTTGATTTTGATAAGTGAAGTTGAATTCGCCCGAAGGAATTTCACCTCCTAAATAAGGTAGTGTCTGGGAGCATGTAAGCATTTTGAAAAGTTTTAATTAAAAATAGCCGCAAAAAAAACTAAATTCATTTTCTATTAAAATACTTATTTCTAAAATACTATTTAAAGTAATTGATATAACGAGGGAGTATTCGGGCTGTGGTAAGCCTTGAAAATCCTGCCAAGAAAGATCGTTCAAAACGACACATTAAGTAGAACATTATTACTACGTTACTAAAGGTTTTCTTTTGTTACGATATTTACATAACAAAAGCACAACGATTTCCTAAAAAATAAAAATAAGTTAAGGGGTAGGGCGTTACTTTAGGACCTCCTCTGCTTCTAATCTGCCAAAAAAATATTTCAAATTGTCCTGATTTAGTGATCTCGTTTTCAAGTATGGGAAACCAGAATGTGACAAAAATTCACCACAACCGTCTTAAGCTGTTTATATTTAGTACCCATCCCTTTAGAAAACAAAAATTATTGGTTGTGTTGTTTTCTAACTCAGCTACGACCCGAATAGTTTTTAAAATTTTTTCGGCCTCAAACTCTAACTGTTTAGGGATACCAACAAACACTTTTTTTAGTGGGTACAATAGCCTCAACGTAATATATTAATAAACCCCCACTATTCGAGTTTAAGGTTCCCGAGCTATAAAGTCACAACATACCAGAAGCACCGTATTACTCAATACCTGAGATGAAAATTTAAGGTATTTGGATAAATAGATCATCGTTTAATTTATGCGCACACCGATAACTCGACTTAGATTCGATTTCATAAAAATGTACAATATTACACCAACTTACGCGACAATTTTCAAAGAAAAGTGTAGTTTTCAAATTTTGTAAACAGTTACGACTACTATTTATTAAATGAGGGCTATTGTACAAATATATATTTCTTTGCCATTAACATTAAAATAAGTAAAAACGTTAACTTCGGTTGCACCGAAGCTATAATACCCTTCACAAATACAAAGGCCCCTTACATAAACTTGATTCCGAACGTTCAATTTACATGGCAGCTATATGATATAGTGATCTGATCTGACCAATTTCTGCGGAGAATAATTTGTTGCCTTAAATAATAATCCGTGAAAAATTTTGTGAAGATACCTCGTCAAATGAAAAAGTTTTCCATGCAAGCACTTGATTCCGATTGTTCAGTTTGTATGGCAGCTATATGTTATAGTCACACGATCTTTACAATTTCTTTGGAGATTGGATTAATGCCTTAAATAATGATACGTGCCAAATTTCGTGAAGATACCTCATCAAATGAAAGAGTTTCCCATGCAAG